TCTTCATCTTCATCTTCATCTTCATCTTCATCTTCATCTTCATCTTCGTCGTCTTGGTCTTTATCTTTTCCTTTATCCTGATCTAAATATGTCCATTCTTTTCTTCATTTACATATTCACCCCCACCATTGTTATTAGGTTAGGTATTTAAATTTTCCTTCCTCTTTGTCTTTATATCTAGGTTTCTTTACTTTTATTTTAATTTCTGTATTTATCACTTTCTTCTTCCCCATACTCAACTTTACCTTCTTCTTTGTTTGAGTCTAATCTATTCATGTACATACATACATACATCTTATTCCTAAACTGCTGCTTAGCACGTTTCTTTAATTCGCTATCAATATTAAAGCATACATTTAGGGGGCATTTCCGCCGCCCCAACCATGTACATGTATGGCATTGGTATTGGTGTGACTTTTGAATTGATTTTTTCGCTCTATTTTAAACTGATTTGAAATTTTAAAAATTGCCTGCACATCAGCATCAAAACACCTTTCTAATGATATATAATTGTTTATACCTTAGAAGTATAGTTTAGCCGTAAAAGGGGTGTAAAGGAAACATGATTGCCTATTTATATATATGATAACATGCTTAAGTTTCAGAATTCCAAATATTTTTTATTTAAACTAATTTAAACCATCACAGTTCCAACCGAAATCCAAGAAGTAAAAAAATTTAATAATTTCATAAGCACACTTTTAATGGTTCTATCTGTGAAGCTACACATTTTTATTAAACACGAATTAAAGGGAATAACCTACTTTAATTTAAGCGACCCAACGCAGTTTGAAAGGTATCTAAATGCAGTGCATATTCAACAAGGTAGGAGTTATTTCCACAGTCCTCCCTCTCGAACTATAATGCAAATTGAATTGCAAACAATTCTTCTTGTTGAAAATATGCATAGTATAGTAAGCACAAAAATATTTGGGGTATTCACAACGGTGTCGTAAGTGTCGTGTTGTTGTATGTTGCAAACTTTAAACGCCTAAAAAATATATTAAAGGGGTCCGTAAAGTACCATCAAAGTCATATTATGAATTTTTGTGGTGTTAAATAATAGTTGGTTGTCGTTTCAAGTTCTCTAAGCATTTATTTAAGCTTTTAAAGTTTACGATATACAACAATACGACACTTACGACACCTTTGTGAATCCCTCATTTATGATAAAAACGCTCATAGGCTTCATAAGTTATCGTTTATCGTTGATCACTAGTTTCTCATAATATTAGATTATGATAAATATGTAATGCGAAAACTATACCACGACATAAATTGCTGAAATGAGTTTGACTAGTTTTTGAAAACGATCAATATTATGTTGCTTTCTCCAGAAGCTTTAGATCTCAATCCACTCGAAAGCATTTTGGTCTAAAGTTTTATATGCAAATAACATAACTAGATTAAAAAGTCTTAAAACGAACGCTAATCAATAATTTCTGTATTCACAAAAAGCTGATGCGAATAATGTCAAGAAATCTTAAAGCACTTCTATACAATTTTCGACAGTTTTTTTTTAAACTTTTCGCAGTGCCATTTCAAAAATTTAGGAAAGACTAGTACCGCGCTCTCTTGGGTGCACTTAAGCCCATGGTTAATTGTGGGATTCATGTCGCCTAAAATTATACAATTTCGAAAGACCAATATTTATTTTTCTATAAAATGTGACTTTCGTTCCACGAAAACAATTGAAATTTACAAGAGTATAACTCATGGCCAGTTTTTTTAGTGCACGGTTAAATCTGACTTTGGTTTAAACTTAGTTAAAGCGTTCGAGCTATCTCGTTTAAGCTAAAGTTAGCCAATCAAATGACTGCCCAATGTTAAATATAAACACAGTTTACTCAATCTTTAACTTTAAACTAGCACTGAAAAACTGACCTAAGTAAAACGGTAGTTAAACCCATGTCAGTGGTTTTCAGATAAAAGTCTGTCACTTCGTATGCGCCGATCTCGATCGATTCCAGATCTTCCAAGTACTTTGCATAATAAAAGTTTAACTAGATGATTTTTTTATGTAGACTGACTTGATTCAAAAACGACTTTTAATGACAATACAAGTCATCGAAAAAAATGTTACCATTTTAATTATAAGAATATGGAAATTTGAAGAGCATACACAAATATTTTATGATACTTTACGATTTTTTATTTACTATGCTTTATGTGATCTTTGGCAAAATAACTTACGTCACTTGTTTGGACCCACCCGAGTGAAAATTTCGAACGAAAAATGAATCCAGTTTTAGATTTTGAACAAACTGTTATTTGACCAGACAAAACTGCTTAAAAAAATTTTCTTCAGGAGCCCACAGATTTTGCATTGTTGACCATTTTAAATTTTGTTTTTAGTTTTATAAATTTAATGTGTTAGTTTTTCTACAAAAACTACTTAAGAGTAGCAGAAAATCTGTATGACGTAACAATTGTGTATTGTGTATCACTTTTGACAGGTGAGTTCATAATTGGTAAAATTAGACCAGGTGAAGTAATAAGAGCGAGAATAAAGATTTAACACTACATTATTTGTAAAATATGCCTTTAAGAAAATAAAGCGAGAAAGCTATTTTCTTACTTCACCTGTTTATTATATCACCATGAGTTCATATAAAAAAATTTGCTGTGTTCGACAAGTGTCAAGTGCTAAAACCGCATGAAGATTGGCGAAAAAGAAAAAAAAATATGAAAATAATAACAACAAAGTCTTTTCTCTTTTGAATATAGTTTTACAAAATTTGGTTTCAATATCGTGTTTGTCATTTGTAGTATTGGGTGATGAATTAGGAATGAAGTATTCAAAGATGTTATGAAAACACAAAATGGAAAACGAAATAAAAATTAATGTGCTTGCGTGCCAATTGCATAGTAGATTAAACTAGTGCACTACTTACGTGCATTCATATTCGTTCCATAGGTCCACACATTCGAACGGTTCCGGACATATGACATTCGAGCAAGGTTTATTGGAAGGGCAATTCTTTTCAAGATTCCGTGCCATAGTGGCTTGACCCCATTGCGTACCATTCATAGCCGGTGGTAAAGGCAAATGCTTGCCCTCCAGCCTAAAAAGATTCAAATACACCCACAAATCAAAATGAGTTCGACATGAGTTAGAAAGCCATGCAAACAATGGCCCCGCGGCTTAGCAAACTTCTTAACGCACACAAGCACACATGTACATATGTGGCAGCATTCATCAAGAACACTTCGTTTTTCGCCGTACACTCACCTGATATCATCAAGGCAGCTCTTTTGGTAGTCCGCATACACTTCGAACGTTCGCACGCCTGTATATTCAGCCTTTCCGCCAGCATAAACACCCTCTTGTTTGTCAACCAATAGCCACTGGTGCCCAGCAAATTCAAACGTCTCGTTGTAGCGACGTCCTTCGCCACCATCCAACTCCAGTGTCGCTGCAGAGCCATAACGATTAATACGCACAACATGCCACTGACCATCTTCTACCGCGACCGCGTTCAACCATAAATCTTTCTCTTCCGTACGCAGCGAATTGAGATTGTAGCGGAAGTGTAGACGTGCATCCTTAATTTCTAAAATTCCATATTCGCGGTTATGTTGGTCTGAAACGCGAAACAGTTCCCCATGCTGCTCGCGCGTACGGAAACGCAATTGAATTTGCGTGCTAAAACGATCCGGCTCAAAGCTGAGCGCATATTTAACGTAGCTCTGTTGCTTGAAGGTGGTAGGTATGGTGGGTATGTTACAAGCAGGGCCAGTCCATCCGGGTCGGCATTGGCAGCGTGCTTCTGAAAGCGAGCCAACACAGTTGCCATGTTCCCAACAGCGTGCCGTTTGCTCCGACTGTGAGCAAACTTCTTCCGTTTGTTGGCAACCTGTGACGCTGTTGCGTGAAAGTCCAGGATGCGCCAAGTCATAGAGTTTAGAATTGAATACTAAATTACGTATGCAGCCATCAAAGGCTTTTGCGTTGGGCGCATAATGCCAGAAGTAGAGCGAGGGGTCAAAGAGGTCACGGTATATGCCACCAACCTGCAGTGGACCATTTACATTCAGATATTCATTGAACGGTGGTATTTGTCCACGCGCCTGGCAGGACATGTCATCAAACTCCGGTGGTGTGCCATCCTCCATTTCACTAATATCCGCAGACTTACAAAAATCTATAACCATACGCACATTTTCCGTATCCCAAAAGACATCAATACGATGCCATTCTCCATCATCCAGAGACTTTTTAGTTTTAACACGTAATTCCAAAGTACCTGAGCCGAAGTCTATAAGCAAGCGCGGGTAGCCACGTTCCAGCTCAAGCGCAATGTAATCAGTGATGATCATTTCCTCGCGCTCCGGAGGCACAATGGGACCATTGTAAATGAAAAGGCCATCAGGTTTGCGTGTGATAAACTCCAGACTCAAATGTGACTCGTCGCACATCTCCAACGGTGGGTACCAAGCCCAACCATTTCCGCGGAAGCTGCGCGTAGTCTGCTGACAACGTGGACCATTGTAACCCGCTGGACACGAGCAGTGCGGGCCAAAGCGCGTATCCACACAGCGTCCACCATTGTAGCAAGGTGTGTTGCGACAAGATTCTGGTTTTGAAAAGTTGCGTGCGCCACAAGTACACTCAGCTAAAGTGTCTACGCGCACACCCACCAAGGCAGTCTTATTCGCGTTAACCATATACGGTAACGAGCTGATGTCCAACGTATTCGTACAGGAACCCTCACACATCTGGTTTTCGTATAAGCATTCATCAATGCCAACCATTGTGATATTAAAGCCCACATCCTTTTCGATTTCCTCGCGATTCATCAGCACAATACCGTTGAGACGCACTGGCTTGTAGTATGGAGAGCCATGCGCCGAAAAGCGTATATCGGTAAGTGGTGGATGGCGGCGCTTGAGTTGCACACTGAAAATATCCACGTTCTCGCGATCTGCGTTCAGCAAATCGGCCAGCTTGTCACGGAAACGATCCAATTTAGAGCGACTCAAGCTCTGTGTGCGATAGTTCCAGACGCGTATGAAGTCTTCATCAGTAATGCCGGCAACACGTATAGAGCCTGAGTTGATTACAGCTTCATGAGAGATTTCACGCACTGTTACCGATATATTTGCTGGCACATCAGTTTGGGTGTGTTTGCGATCGTAAACCTTGAAGCGCAAGTGATAACGTCCTTCGCGCGTACCAGCTCGCATTGTTACCATGCCAGAGTCCTCATCTAACTTGAAACGAGGATGTTCTTGAGACTCCCAGTAGAATTTCTTATCAGGCAAATCCCAATCGTCTAGGTCATAAACGTACACGCGGCCAATCGGCGTGTCTGGAGACTGACCTTGATAGTTATACACGAAAATGTCTTTAGATCCTGGTTGCATTTTATTGTCGTTGACATCGCCGATGACTACAGTGAGTGTGCTAGTGCCGGTCATCGCCGGTGAGCCATGGTCCTTAATAACAATGGGAATCATGTACTCCTTTTGTTGTTCACGATCGAAGGAGCGGAGAGAGGAAATAACAGCCATGCCATCGCCATTAGCGCCCTCTGTGGAAAAAAGGGAAAATGTAGAGAAGAAATTAGATATTGTAAAAAAGTATTTAAACTTTTATTTCGAAAGTCATAAAAGGGATACTCCGCTAAAATTATAAAAGTCCAGTCAGTAAAATATCGGAAAGTTTATGGAATATTTAATGTTTTTTATTACATCTTCACTTTATCGTAATTAACGGCTCATTTGTAATTTATAGGCAAATCATCCTGAGTAATTTCACTTTGTAAAATTTGTCAATAAATTAAATAGAAATGATATAATCTATCATAAAACAAGAACCAAATGAAGAAAAAATTATATTTCATTTATTTTAGCCCCCACTGTTGAGCAAATTTGAAAAAAGTGCCTAGAGGTACGCAACCCTTTGTTTTTTGAAATCAGGTACAAACTACTTCAAAGTGACTGTATAGCGTATGGAATTATCACAAGCAAAGAAAAAATTGTTAATTTAATTGCAAAGCTATTTAATTTTTGTTCATCTTTAGGAGTTTCCGAAGACAATGACGTAATGAAAAAAAGTTTTCGCAAATTTTTCGATGGTTTTTATTAATTACAGGCATATATGTAATACTCCTATATTGGCAGTAAGAGCTAGTACCGTCCGAAAACACTGCAGTACAGATATATCAATAAACCCGTACGAAAGAAAAGGAACACATACGTTTATAAATAAACATGTACACAACACATGTACAAAAACGGCACTCAAGTACACAATACATTGACAAAAACGGTATCTACTAGACTGTCTCGCTTTGATTTCGGAATGCTTACACATTGAGAAGTTAGCTCACTGCCAATATAGAAGTATTACATATATGATTACAGGCCAACCTATTATTCACGCACGCCAGCAGTTTTCTGTCAAAAATTTCTCATGCGCATACAACTTGTATGGGACCATCCGAAATTGAACGGCACACTATGGGCAATATGAGGCATTTGCTGATCACAAATCTGTAACTTTTTTGTTTTTAAAGTTACAATCATGAAATTTTTCGTGTAGATAGTGTAAACCATGTTTCCATAAATGTAAACCTTAATGTAAATAAATGTAATAAATGAAAACCATAGTTCCGAACTTTTGGGGAATACGCAGTAACTGCCCGTATCAGCATGCAGATCTTTCTTAACCATTGTGAATAAAGAGTACCTAGCAGGTTATCGGACATATTTTTTCTCGAAAACGAGCGCCCCTATTCTAGATGTATTCCTTACCCATTGTGGGTACTGGAACTGGAAAATTAGTATTGGTACCTGCAACTCACAATGGTCGAGAAACATCTGCATGCTGATACGGGCAGTTTACTGCGTATTCCCCAAAAGTTCGGTGTGAATTGCAGGTATCAATACTAATTTTGCGCAGTTGGAGGACCTAGCAGGTAATCGTCCTTAAAAGTAGGCAGCTAACTTTTTTATCGTTATTTACTCCCGTTTGATTGTAAAATATTGGAAATGTAATAAAAAATTGTATTTCTTGGTAATTCCGTATGCATGTTTTAAGGTAATTTTTTCTAAAAATTATTAGAATCTCACAAATGAAACATCAGGTAAAAGGTGCGGTTGTCTAGTTTTCGAATAAATAATTTTTGTTTGTTAGGTTTTAAGATTTATTATTTATAGGGTTAAAAGCCCAGTGATACTAGTAGCTGCTGAAATCCCGTATTCTCACGTAGTGTCACTTAAAACATCATAACTTCAAATGGCGCAAACTTGCGCAAACTTTTTTCCGTGTAGTAGGTGGATTTTTCGTGCTTTTAATGAATTCAAATTCAAAACATACCCAAGCGGAGAACACCTTCGAATCCATCATCGAAATTTAAAAAAAAACGAAAAAAATGCGTTTTATTACAGAAGCTATTGCTGCAACCTGTTATTTCAAATTAAAATATTTATAGCTAAATTTAAATCTGAATATAACATGTAACTCAAGTCAGTTGGGCAATTCACAAGGTGTTGTGAAGTTATATTTTCCTAACAAAAGTTGTGTTAAAACACGACGGTTGTGAACACCTGTTACGATTATTTATTATATCTCAGCACTTAACCTCACATAACACCGAATAAACATAGGTTGCAGAGTTGTATCGTCATGTGTTATTTTTCTTCACAAAACAATAACAACATTTTTACAACTGTCATGAAATATCATGACTTCACGACAAACACGACAAATACGACACCTTGTGAATTGCCCAAGTATTTCTTAATAGGCCCTTGCTAGGAAAAAAATCCTAAACTGCGGATCTGAATATTATTGCGTTGCGAGTAAAAATTTCAACAATTTGAATATGTCAACTTCTTAAGCAATTTTCACTTTATTTCATTAAATAATAATAATAATAATAATAATAATAGATTGGCGCGTACACATATGTTAGTGTTTGGCCGAGCTTCTCCTCCGACTTGTGGCGTGCGCCTTGATGTTGTCACATAAAGCGGAGGGACCTACAGTTTTACGCCGATCCGAACGGCGATTGTATTTTTATGAGAAGCTGTTTTTCATGGCAGAAATACACTCGGAGGTTTGCCATGGGACGACCGCTGTTAAGAAAAACCTTTTTCTATATTTTTTGCGATGTTGCTTTGACCAGGGCTTGAACCAAGGTGCTGATGAGTGAAAGCGCGCACTGCTTACCACTACACCACAGCGGCCGACAAAATTCATTTAATAAACACACAAAAAATCATAAGATCATTAAAGCACGCTTTATTCCCTAAAGAATGATACCAGTGTTCTTTTCAACTTTTCAAAAATGCATTTATGATCAGCCTTTGTACTAGGCCGATTCATCGTGCGGCGTGCGTAAAAACCTAACTTAAATTTCAAGTTTTGTGTTGCGTGACATTTCGATTTGCCGTTTGTGCTCATATGACATTTTGGCGCGACTATTGGTTCAAATTTCGCTCAACAAACTTCTGTAAATTTGACAGAAGTGCAACTCTGAGAAATCACGCACGTAAATTGATTTCGGTTAAACAAATTTGAAAAACTTGAGTGCGTGCGTAGAAAAACTCACGCCGGTAAAAGTAGGTTGAGTACGACAGCAATCGCACGCGTAGGGTTTTGGTTTGCGTTGTTTGGCTACATGACTTGTCAACTTATGTCAAATATGACGCAGTATAGGCCGCCGCCTATTGGAAGACATTACATTACACAGTCACTTTGAGTTTACGAACAGCTTCATAGCACAAAAAAAAAATAATATTAAAAACCCATTCGTACAATAGAAACTGTCAAAATATGCAAAAATATGCCACAATGGGATGGAAAAGAAACCAAGTTCAGTCAAAATAGTGTACAACCTAACAAAATTAAAAAAATATTACGATATAAAATATGAGTTATAATCAGGTCCGAAAAGTTTAGGCTTTTGCTTGGAATTGCTTATTAAGGGTGTTCAAGTTTAATTTTAACGAGCATGCTTATTTTGCTTATTTCAATGTATAAAGCTAAGTACGGACCTTTTAAGAAATAAATTGCTATTATTTCATGTGTGTCAATAGTAGTGGCCAAGGAGTTTTGACATATTATATTTTACAGCCAGCTTTCTCACTTTTTGCCCAATAAATTTTTCTTGATCATTTCTTCGGTGTTTTTTTTATTCGTCGAACTCTTTAGTTTACAAATAATGCCGCAGATTTGGTTTTTATTAACCATTAACTTCAATAGCATTTCTGCTTGGATACAAAAATTTAAAACCAATGGGTCGTCTCTACGGGAAGATTTTTGTGTTATTGAAGAGATTAAATATAATTTATCTCAAATGGAGAATAGCGAATATAAAAAAAAATAAAACGACCAGTGCAGATCTATATTACTTGAGAATATCAAGCGACACATGTATTTTTATTGCAATTTTTCAATCCTGGAAATAAACTGCATAAAAAAAAAACATTCCATCGCCTAAGCGATTTTGGCCGAGTTCAGCAAAGCACACCAGTCGTTTCTCCTCTGTGCTAACTGACGCCAATTGGAAACGCCAAGTCCTTCTCCACCTGATCTTTCCATCGCAGTGGGGGCCTCCCTCTTCCTCTGCTACCACCAGCGGGTTCCGAGTTGAATACATTCAGAGCTGGAGCGTCGGTGTCCATTCGAAGGACATGACCAAGCCAGCGGAGCCGCTGTATTTTAATTCGCTCCACTATTTTCATGTCGTTGTAAAGCTCATACAGCTCATCGTTCCATCGTCTGCGGTACTCGCCGTCGCCAACGCGTAAAGGCCCGTAAATCTTCCTTAAAATCTTTCTCTCGAACACACCAAGAGCCGCCTCATCGGATGTTGTCATTGTCCATGCTTCTGCGCCATATACCAGCACGGGCATGATGAGTGACTTACAGAGCGTGGTTTTCGTACGTCGAGAGAGGACTTTACTCCTGAATTGCTTACTCAGTCCAAAGAAGCATTTGTTGACAAGAGTGATTCTGCGTTGGATTTCCATGCTGACATTATTATCGGTGTTAATGCTGGTTCCCAAGTAAACGAAATTCTCTACTTTCTCGAAATTGTAACTGTTAACAGTGACGTGGGTACCAAGGCGCGAATGTGCTGACTGTTTGTTTGATGACAGGAGATACTTCGTCTTGTCCTCGTTTACCACCAGACCCATTCGCTTTGCTTCCCTATCCAACTTGGAAAAGGCAGAACAGACTTCGCGGTTTTTGTTACCGATGATGTCGATGTCATCGCATAAGCCAGCAATTGCACGCTCTTGTAGTAAATTATTCCTGAGCGGTTCAGTTCTGAAGCTCTTATTATCTTCTCCAACATCAGATTAAAGAAGTCACTTGAAAGGGAGTCGCCCTGTCTGAAACCCTGTTTTGTGGCGAACGGCTCGGAGAGGTCTTTCCCAATTCTGACGGAGCTGGTGGTATTGCTCAACGTCATTTTACACAGCCGTATGAGTTTTGAGGGGATGCCAAATTCAGACATAGCGGCGTATAGGCAACTCCTTTTAGTGCTGTCAAAAGCGGCTTTAAAGTCGACAAATA